GGCTGGAGAATGGAGATGGAGGTGGAGACGGTGACACTTTGCACTTTTATGTGGCCATCACATTACCACAAATGTCCTTATCTAAGATCGATGGCGTGGCAAACCTATTTTCCGCACGGAGGGCGAAAGAGAGACATCTAATTTTCGGTGCGTGTTGGCGGAACTGCTCGGTGCGGTGCGAAATCAAATTTTCCTGGATGTTGACAGGACTGCTCGGCGTGGTGCTCAGCAGAGACCGGAATTTATTTCGTGTTTTAATAGAAAATGATTACGATAAAATGTTACTTACCTAATATCCGTCTTTTCATTTTTTTCTCCTGTGCACCTTTTGTATATCCTATGAGTTAGTTGTTGTCTTTTTGATTTTTCATAATAATATAAATAAACATAAAACTAAAATAGGATGATAATAAATAATTAAAAGATGCATGAATTTGACACCTAAATATTACTAAAAAATAAAATAAAAACTACTCGTTGTAGCTTGTTGCGCTGTATCTACCGATTTTTTTTTATTTGTGTGACTGCATCTGCAGCTGTTTGAACTAAGGCCTATAATTTAGAAGCAAGGGGAAGGCAGGCCCAGAGATGGAAAACCCTCCATAAATAACTAAATGGGTTATTGATATCCCCATGGATTTCCCAATCTGAAAAAAGTCATGGATTCTAAGGGGATTTGAGTTTCCAGATAAAGAGAAAAAAACATCCTCCTCCTCGCTAGTGCTCTGGCGATTCGTTGAACGAGTCGCAGTACTCCGGATCGTTGTCCTCCTCGCTGGAGTCACAGTCGGTGCTGTACTTTTCCATCGCTCGAGTACGTTCACATTGCTCGCAGCCGTTACTACTCGAATCGCTAGTGTAGTAGTCGAGGGGTTGGCGCGTTTTCTTGCTCTGAGAACAAGAAAGTCCGCAGATCTGTGTATTTAACGCGCCAGACTTTCTCGTAATCAGAACAGGAAAACACATCCACCCCTCGACTACCACTCTGACACCTCGTATTCTGAATCTATTTTATTAGTAATTAGTAACGCTACGGGGACTCACATCTTCTAAAGTTTGTTAGCGTCTGCATTGAGTATAAATATCCTTCCTGGTCCCTTTTATTTTTCACTTGCAAGTTGCTAGCCAAGGAAAGGGGGCAGTGTTACAACTTCATTAGCAACTGTTGCCCATAGAACTACAGTGACTGTCCTTGTTGAGGTGAGTTTTAGTTTCTTTGTTATTTTATTCTAGTCAGGATCAAGATCTCAATCGAGGCTAAGATATGGCCTAGGCAATATTCTGTTTCTTTGTACTAGTTCTTGCTTGTTCAAGGTGTAGTGTGTTTTCATATGTGGTTTTTTCTAATGATTTTTCCTTGTGTTTTTTGGTCTGTATATAGAGAGATGTCGTCGTACCACAACACCCATGTATCGTAGAAGGGGTGCTTGTTGCTTGGGGACGTTATGTTCATCAACAGCCCTGACTGATCGTTGTTGAAGCTGTAGTTCGTTATATGCTTGGTAAAGATTGCTTTGTTACAGTTGTCGAAGACAATGATAGTGGCGAGATTTTTGTTCGTATTAGGAATTTTGAGCAAATGAAAAGACTTATTAGTGTTACTATGTTTGTGGGAGGAGACTCTGTCATCTTCACTCATGTTCATCAACTGAATGCAATTTGTCAACCGTCTGACATGAGTCCCCTTGGAAAGATGAGATGTTTTAGACATTAGAGATTAGAGAAATACTACGTAATATACTTTTTTATATAAAGGAATGAAGTTATTATGTTGGTCCAACTATATTTATCTTCCTTTATTTCTTTCATACTTCATATACTTTGGTTGATTCTTATAACATTGAGTTTTTTTTATTTGGTCATATCTAACAATTCTGACTCCTTGATTTAGGACGGAGGGAGTACTTGAATTCAGATTTGGGTTGATCGCAAACGTTAAAGGATGGATGCACAGCCGTTGAAATGTATGTGCACCCTATAGACAGAACGATCATCTAAGATTTTCACTAGCCGGACACTAGTGGAGCGATAAGGTTTATCACAGAAGGTCCGGCGGTTTGAAATAGTGACTACCCAGATTGTATTGATGAACAATGTGCGGTGTCTGTTTTTGTCTTGTTGGCTCCTAGATTCCCGCGTAGACGCGCGCGCGTGGGTGGCATCAGCAGGCAGTTCCAGCAGGGACGTCGCCTTGCTGCCTGTCGCATTGATGTGATGGGGCGAAGCCGAACCGCCCACCTACGCAAACGTGTCAGTGGTCGTGGGTCGTGGGGTGGTTCCACGGGTTATCTGTTGCCTTCTGCGATCATCTACCTTCCCACCCTAGATCTCCTCCTTCCATCCCAAAGCTTTTGCCCTCCACCTACTGCGCCCTTTGTGCCGCCATGCCTCCAGCGAGGACCATGACCACGCAGTGGATGAAGTCATCCGTCGACCACAAGGCGTTCGACAAGTTGCAACTAAACGCGATGATCCCGGAGGCCGTCAACGCGATCGGGTGGAGAGATCCGCCGAGAACCAAAGTGGAGTCAAGGCCGGAGGAGAATGAGGTCATCTTTTTCGCCCATTTCCACTCTCGCCATATGTTATAGTTGCTTCCATTGAGAGGCGGAATGGACCAGATAAACATCATTGAGTTATATCCTGAAAACAACATCAGATAAAGTGAGAAACAATTGACATAATAATTGCATGCCTTAATTTAATGTTGGTCAAAAATAAAACATACAATGTGCTTCTACATTAACTCTACATCACCGTTGGACAGAAATAGAACTAATGCATAAAACTCATAAATAAACTTATAATATTGTTATCGTCAACGTTGGTCAGAAAAATAACAATATCATAATTTGACTTAAACAAATCTGACTACTCCTCCAATTAAAATTTTCTCGTTGGTTTCAATTTAATTAGAGGATAAACATATTCCTAGCAGCGGAAACATGAAAAGACTAGAAAAATAATAATTCTTGATCAGAAACATTTCTATGTACTTATCTACTCTCTAGACAATTTATCCCGTTGGTTCAAATTGAATGGAGATGAAATCTAAGCCAAATTCATCAAAAATTGCTTCTAAAAATAATAAAACAAATTCAAAATCCTATTGTTCATTCGGCCAGATGCCCACTCGCGCGCTGCGCGCTCCCACGTCCCAGGTCGCAACCTGGGCCAGGGCCGGGATTCTCCTTTCCCGCCTGGGCCAAAAACCGGCCTGGTCGCCCGGAGCCGTCCATCTCATCCGACGGCTGTCCGTCGATCTCAGCGGGACAAAACCAGGGCGCCGCCGTCCTCCTCGGAACCCTAAATCATTATCTCCCTCCCCTTCTCTCTCATCACTGCAACCGTGAGGAGCGGCGGAGGCGGCCGGCCATGGCGGTCGGAGGAAGGTGGTGGTGCCGCCGCAGGGCCCCTCACCGACGCGCGCATTTGCCTGTGGGTGAGCGCGTCATCATCGAGTGGCCTTGCAGCAGTGCTCTGAGGCCGAGCCCGCGCGCCGGCGATGCAACGTCGTGCGACGGCTCAGCTCGTTCTCTCACGCGGTGGCGGGATCTTCTTCCCGCACGACGACGGTGGCGATGGTGGCGGGAGAACCTGGGTAGTTCCCTTCCCTCTCCGTCCTTTCTTCTAGGGTTAGGGATATGGTTTAATCCGAATCAAATCAAATCAAATCATCTCCTTCTAAAGTTCTTCCCCAAACTAGATCTACACGCTAACCTGGCTCTGATACCATTGTTAGAAAATCTTGAATCATCTATGCGTAGATCAGTGGGTGGTTTCTCTTCTATTCAGGATAAAACAAGTAGTTTGACCTAGAACATGAGCTAGAGAGAGAGAGGATAGAAGTGGCTGACCATTGGGCTTGGAGGAGCTGCTAGCCATGGCGTTGGTGGCGAGGTCGGCGACGGGGTAACGGTCGCTAGAGAGGATGCTGAGGTGGTGAAGGTGGCAGCGGCTCGATGCAGATGGTGGCAAGGACATGGGCGTCAGCTCGCCGCGTTGAAGATGGTGGTGGCGCTTCCCGTCGCTGTCAGCGCCCCCTCTAGATCGTTTTAGGATTTGTAGGTGGGGATTGTGACGACGTCAAGTGAACCTCGTACCACGAGCCCTGCCCTCCCCATCTCCTTTATATGGCGCTGTGCGACGGGGGGCCACATTTGGTTGTGTGTCCCCGATCAAGACGCGGATCAGAGCCCGATTCGACTATTGGGCCGAGTCGGAGGAGATCAACACTAACAGATATTTTTTTTTCTTTTTAATAATAGGAACATCTGGCTTCAAAAATTACATTAACTTATTAGAATTCATCACACCACAACGTCCAGATCAAATTTACAAAACTCAGAACTTAATCTCATTGCTGCATCTCCGGTCTGCGGCATACTTTTAAAACTCAAAAACAAGCTTGTTGCGCACCTCACACGCATTTGTAGATACTTCTTTTGTTCCCAGATTATCATGGCGACACACTAACACTGACACTCACGACATGTCGCGATTCGATCACGAAGCCGGTAAAAATCATCCCATCTTAATTCGTACGAATCAGCCATGAAACACTATTTTTCTTACAACAAACCAGCCATTCAAATCAGCAGTAGCTAATTTAATACCAGCCGAGCAGAGCTTTCCCCGGCAGGCAACCATCCCTTAGACTGTCTCTAGGAACCCATATGGGCATCAAACCCAAAATAGATAGCAAGATACCACAAATCAGCCTCCAACAGAGTACTTATACGACAGACCTAATTTGGGTTGCCTGAGAGGCACAACCCAAATATATGCATCCTCTCTCCTGGAAACCCATTTACAGAAAAGATTAATTTTTTGGTCTTCTTGTTGGATCATATGCCGAATAGGTATTGAATCTTTTGCCTGTAGCGCTACCCAAAGGATGAATAGGTATTTTGGGTGTTATTGTTGGAGATAGCCTTATCCGGTTTCTGCTGCACTCGTGTGTGCACCTCTCCGGTGGGCAGTGGCGGCTAGTCCACGCCATGGCTTCCCGCGGCACTCTCCTGCCGCTCTTCCTCTTCCTCCTTGTGGCACCTGTGCTCGCGACCTCCGGCACTATCGTCTTCACCACGCTCGGCCGGAGCCGCTACGCCTTCGACATCTTCGTGCTCCCGCTCGCCCCACTCTCCCCCTCCACCGTCGCCGCAGAGATCCGCCTCACGGACGGCGCCTCCGTCAACTACAACAGCAACTTCGCGCCCTCCTCCTCCTCGGAGTTGCCCTCCCTCCTCTTCGCAAAGTTTTAAATCTCCGGCTATAGCTGCCGCTATAGCCGGAGATAGCTGCTACGGGAAGGAAAAGGCTAGGAGAACCAAATTTTACCTCTAAGCAATCCTAGACGCTAATAGCTGTGTTTATCCAGAGATATCCGCTAAATACAACTTCCTTTAGCGGCAGCAGCGGCTAAAACAATGATGGCCCAAAAAGACAGCAGGCCCAACGTGCCTCCACTTCGAGTCTCTGTTCCCACACAGAACAGACCGACGCGGCAGCAGAGACTTCTGGGTGCTGGTGGCCGAATGGATAAGATCGAGTTTAACTGGAGGGAATAAGGTATTGTTTATATATGCAAATAACAACGAAAACAACAAAAAAAGGTAAAACAGGGAAAGTGTCTTAGCGGCTATTGTAGCGGGCTATTAGCGGCTATAGCGGTTCAACAACGGTGCAGCTAAACCCTTTAGCCGGAGATTTAAAACTTTGCCTCTTCGTCTCCGAGCGCAACGGCTCGGAGGTGCTGGAGGAGGCGGACTACTCGCCGACGCTCACGCAGCTGCTCCCGTGGGACCCCATCGCGCTCAAGGACCGGCCCTCGCTGACCCCCGACGGTGCCCACCTGGTGTACGTCTCACGGCGGAGGCGCGGGGCCCCGCGCGAAGCTGGCGCGCCATGTACTCCACGAGCCTAGCGTCCGGGGCCACGCACCGCCTCGGCCAGCGTGGCGTCGCCGACTTCAGCCCCGCCGTGTTGCCGCCCGGGGGCTGGACCGCCGTCGTGTCGCCCGGCCCGGCGGCTGGGCGGCGAGGTGGAGGACCTCGCACCAACATCTACGTCTTCCGGACGTCTAACGGTCGCTGGCGGGCGCTGGCCGCCCCGGACGGCGGGTGGCCGACCTAGGCCGACGAGAGCACCGTCTTCTTCCACCGACGGACGGCGACGGCGGCGACGGCGCGTACTGCGCGCCAGCTCTCCTTCACGGACGACGAAGCCGCCGGGTGTCCGTCGCGTCCGTCGTCGACCAGATCACCCCCTTTGGGTTCCACGCGTTCACCCGCAGCGTCGCGCCGGCCGCCGGGCTCGTGGGCCGTGGCCACCGGCGCCGGCTTCGACTACCGCCACATCGAGGTCATCGACGTGTCCGGCAGCGCGGCGGCGCCTAACGCCTTCTACCGAGGTGACCGGGCCGTGGCGCGCGCGCGCACCACTTCAACCCGTTCATCTCGCCGACGGCGAAGCGCGCCGGGTACCACCGGTGCGGGGCAGCGGGAACGGGACTGGCCACTGCTGCTGGAGAGCATCAAGAGCCCTGCGCCGGACACGTTCTCGCTCTTCAGGATTGACGGGTCGTTCCCTCGTTCTCGCACGACGGCAAGAGGATCGCCTTCGTTGGGCTGCCGGGGCTGTTCGTGGTCAACTCCGGCGGCTCTGGCGGCCGCCGGCGGGTCTTCTCGGGCAACGCGTTCCCCACGACATGGGACTGGAAGAGGAAAGGGGTCATCTACACCAGCGTCGGGCCGAACTTCGCGAGCGAGAGCACCGAGGTGGACGTTGTCGCCGTGTCCCTTGGCGAAGACGACGACCCCAATGTCTCGATCAAGAAGCTCACCGTGGGAGGCGAGAACAACGTGTTCCCGTCCCCCTCGCCGGACGGCAAGTGGGTGGTGTTCCGGTCCGGGAGGTCCGGGCACAAGAACCTCTACATCATGGACGCGGAGGACGGCGAGGCCGGTGGCATCCGGCGCCTCACAGAGGGGCCCTGGTCCGACACCATGTGCAATTGGTCCCCTGACGGCGAGTGGATCGCGTTCGCCTCCGACCGGGACAACCCGGGCGGCGGCAGCTTCGCCATCTACATGGTGCACCCGAACGGCACCGGCCTGCGGAGGGTGGTGCACAGCGCCGACGGCGGCCGGACCAACCACCCCTGGTTCAGCCCGGACTCCAAGACGCTGGTGTTCACGTCGGACTACTCCGCTGTGTCCGCTGAAGCCCATCTCCAACCCGCACCACTACCAGCCCTACGGCGAGATCTTCACCGTCAACATCGACGGGTCGGGCATCCGCCGGCTTACGCACAACTCCTTCGAGGACGGAACGCCGTCGTGGACGCCGTACTACCTGAAGCCGGAGGACGTCGGCGAGACGCCGCAGGCCTCCGGGACGTGCGCGTTCGAGGATTGCCACTGGCTCAACATCGATGCCCAGCCAGATAGCATCATGTGTGGCGAGCACGGTTAAGGGCGTATTTGGTTTCACCTCCTGAAACTTTAGACGCTGTCCATTCGGATGTTTGACACATACGTGGAGTATTAAATATAGACTAATTATAAAACTAATTATACAGTTTACGACTAATTTGTGAGACAAATCTTTTAACCTAATTAGGTAATGATTTGATAATGTAGTGCTACAGTAAACATGTGCTAATGACCGATTAATTAGGCTTAATAAATTCGTCTCGTGGAGTACTGACGGATTATGTAATTTGTTTTTTTTATTAGTATCCGAACACCCCATGCGACACCCTCACGTGACACCTCCTAAATTTTAGTCACCGGATCAAAACACCCCCTTAAGCTGTATAGTGTCTGTGATGGAACTCATGTATGTATACATAGCAGCGATCATCAGAGACTCAGAGTGCAGTGATGCCATCTTGTTTGCTTACATACTACTGATATGAATAAGGTCATGTACAGTGATGCCGAGTTTAAGGCAAAAATTAACGAAACTCCACATATTTATGACGATGTTTATGGCTCGTAGTGTATTCTGTATTGGTTTACGTTTGTAAGGTGCAAGTAACATCTAGGGCACAGAACGGGAAGAACCAGCTGAATTTTATTAAGAAAAAACAAAATTGAATCTATTAGATATTGCACAGCTCTAATTTTACAATGATGCACGCAGCACATATATATGATATACCTCACAGTGAAGTAAAAACACTCACCGACGCACCTCTACAGATGATCTAACAAATGACCTCCTCCACCATACCTGGAAAGCTCTGCTGAGATTAGGGCATTCTGTGCCTCTAGATGCAAAGCACTGGAACCATTCTACGAATAAGCTCTGCTGCTGGTGAAGTGGAAGGGTGAGCAGGGCTTGCCCCAGGTTCTCCTCCAGGATTCTCACATCTAGCCCCTTGGAGCACCTCTGGAGCCAGCCGAAGTCCGTAAGCATTGGCCTGAACCATCCATGGAACAATTGGCACCTCGTATTGCTGGGACATTGGATTCTTCCTTTCCCCAGAGCGATGAACACGCTCGCTGATATCCGGCTAAGCTCGTATCTGAACATCGGCGATGCTTGCTCATGCATTCTGATGAGTTCAACTTGCCTAGCCCACAACTCAACATATTCTTCTGCCATATCATTGTTTAAAAGGATGTCAAAGAGCCAATTGAGATTCTCAGTTTGCTTACTGATCTTTTCAATCATAGGCCTGCTATCTGAAGTTGTCATAGCTTGGCCCACATCCTCGACTGGCTCTGAGTCTTCCATGAAAAGTTCCACTAGTGAACTCAAACAGGAACGACAGATTTGATAGAGCCCCCCTTTGTTTAGCCCCGACAAGTCCTTATGATAGACTGAGCTTTTGCTTAGGAGACCACTGACCAAAGATTGCATCTCTTTTCTTGCACCATTGTTGGTTCCACTGGTGATAGATTCAACGAGCTGCACTGTCAAGTCCTCTGAGCCGCTCGTGCATTGTTGCTGTAATCTTGCCAGCACATCTTTACATACTGATTCGTCAAAAGTGCATCTAGCAAAAACATGCTTCAGCTTCTCCTCCTCATTCTCATTCCATGGAACTGCTTCGATGTACTTCAAACATGATTCAATTCCTCTGTCAAACATAATAGAGGAGGAAACCTGTAATTCAAACATCAAAGATACAGTCAGACTGTGTCAGGAAGCAGAAGACAGCCAACGAGGAAGTACAAATAGAGCAACTGAATACGTGTATAGCAATAAAAAAAATATCAGGTTGTCTGTAATTGACATCTCAGTATCTACTTTCACAATTGAAACTGAACAAGTCATAATGAGAGATTGTGTATATACAGTGTACACCGAGCAGATGGCATCAATTAATGGATCAAACATGCGGCACCAAACAAATGTATTTGTCTGAACTAGAACTAAATAGGAACTGTGCAGTGCACATAAATTAACAGTCAATTGTCAACCATAAAATTCAGAAGAACCTATGCCGCGAACGTGAAAACCTGCTAAGCTGCTACTGCTACTATGTTATTTTCTTCGAGCTTCAATGGCACTTGTTGACATATATAATGCTACCGGATCTTCATACCATTAACTATCCTAGCCCTACATACATAATAAATTTACTGATCCACAATCACACTTGACACAAAGGACCATAACTCCCTAACAAGAGCTGCTTAGAGCAAAAAATGCACCAAGGAATGATTCTTTTTTTTTTAAATATATCAAGTCTATATGCTTAAAAGCAGTACTGAAGTAACTGAACAATGAAAGTATTTTCCTGGTTGGATTTCTTTCCTAACTATTTTTAGCTTAACTATCCAACAGGAACAACTTGTGAACTCTTAAACCAGAATCTTCTTTTGTCATTTTATTGTCAACAATTACGTCTAAGAAGTATGAGGTTGACGATAAGGCCAAAGTAGATCAGTGCCATGTCGCAGTAATGCAAAGGTTTCTATTCCCGAAATCTGTGTATGTGTGCCCTAAGCCCTGCTGAACTATTTTGCCAGCAATAATATTATCTGAGGTGTTATAGTGCTCAAATGGAACCATAAGTACCTTCCCTCTAAAATGTTAGTTCAAATTCAGCGATTAAAAATAAAAGGTACCTATTAAAAGGTGAGTAACTCATGAACCGGTACCATAAGCTGTGGACCAAGTACCGATCAGAGAATTATACTGAAGTGTAGAAAAATAATTTCATTCTCTCATGGCCCAATCCAACACTGACATAATTGACATTGTGTTGACAAACCAAGTGAGATTCCATTGCAAGATTACCATGTTCCAATTGGGGATCAGATCCTGCAGCATGACAAGGTCAGGCTCGCTTGGCCATGAAGACAAAGGTGGCCGCGAGGGCGAGCATGGCCAGCCGAGTATCCTGACTGGTTGACGAGTAAATCGCAAGTGCAGAAATCTCGTCCGCATCACTACTGGCGCATGGTAGAGGGTGCATGGACAGAAAGGGGCTGATGATGGAGACAGGGTGATGGAGGAGGTGAAGATAGGGAAGGGCAGAGGCCTCTGCAGTGAGGAGGGCTCACCATCGACGCCATGCCTTCCTTGATACCCTCCACCATGAGCCCCAATGTCTTGGTAAGCTCTATGGTTGCGGCTACCTCCTCTTCCTCTCTCCCATGCAAATTCCCCTTGCAATTCTGTTTGTCTTTTGTCCACCTTAGACAGCCTCATCCATCCTCTGCCTACTCGAATATAGTGCAGCAGCAAGCTTCTTGGCCGACTAATCGCAGCCAGCAGAGAATCAAGATGACCATGTGTTTGTTGGTCGCACATGACCCCACCAAGTTTCATGCCAAGCAATTCAGTGTGGCCCTTCCTTTTGATGGGCACATCCATCGCTGCCCATTGCACGAGCATGTTCAGTCGGCGCACAAATTGTTGTAATTGTGTCCCTTGTTGATCTAGCATCCGCCTCAGCGCATCCCTCGCAGCCCAGAAATCATGTGTTATGTGATAGTTTCCTTTGTCCGGTCATGTCATTCCTTCATGATGTGAACATCATCTTGTACATCTGTCCTACTCAAGCCATGATATATCAACTCTACTAGTGGGGGCGGATCCAGTGCCGGAGGCTCCCACATGAGTGGGGTCTGGGATAGGGAAAAACCGAGACAAGCCTTCCCCCACAAAAAATGCGGAGAGGCTGCTTCGAACCCGCGACCTGGTGACTCAGTGAGACAGCTCTCACTACTGCACCAGGCCTGCCCTTCTAATTCAGCATTTGGGGCCAAGCAAATAATTATTAAACCGTGTAGATTCATTACTTGGGCCATGAAACTGAGTAATTCAACAACCATGATTTCAGCAGACTCAGTAAGCATCAGGTTTGTCTTGATTCAGCGTTCCTGTGGCCTTTATGCAGACAGGGAACTTGAGATTTAAGAGCTGCCGGGACAGATAAGCAGCAAGGAAGGAAACCAACGGCGTCAGGAAGAGAACTGCCGAAGGAAGGTGGCAAAAGAGGAAACCATTGGCTAGTGTTTGAGATGGATCACTGGAGCAGTTTGCCAGATGGAAACAAGTGGTAGTGGTCAATCTGTGATGTCGATGCAATAACCGACACTGACAAAGTCAGTTACTCGAGAACAATACGTAATTGCTTTTTCCCCTCCTAGCAATGCCGGTTACCAGAACCTAAATGGAGTGAGGCCTACCATAAACGACAGCTTCTTTTCTAGCAACTGGATAACATACATCATCAACTGAACAACGATTTTGACACGTCGCATCGACAAATTAATTACTTGCTGACTAAAACACCACCTATTGTAGCATCTGCATAACATATATCATCAGCACCAACTCAACAATGATATTGACATGTCAAAGCAACAAATTCATTAGTTGCTGACCAAAACACCACCTGCAGAATGTACACTTGGATTTGGTTGCTGTGTTAGTCTAAAATCAAGTGCACCTACACCTAACGATGGTGCACAGGCTAACTGAATAGGTGAACATGAACATCTAAGCGACAATTATACCTTGAATTCATCGCAACATGATCAGTTGATCAGTCAAATTAAGCTGTGTAATCATGCAATGTGACTGGTACAACCATTAGTACTACCTCCCTAGTCACTCACATCACAAATTTGGACCGTATTGTCGGCAGAAACAAACAGAAGGGAAAGGAAATGAAAGGGATGCATCTGTCTGACCTCGAGCACAGCAATTGCCCGTGACACGCCGGCCCTGGCGAGCCACCGCATGGCGTCGGGCTCGAACATGAGCTCCACCGCCTCCTTGAACGCCTCCAAGTTGTCCACCCCATCCACCTCGACCCTCCTGTCCCCGCCGCCGCCCCCGCTCGCAGAGGCGTTGGGAACCATGCCGGCGAAGAACGCGCTGCTCCCGCACAGCACGGCGGAGTCGAGGTCCATGGCGACGCACCGGCCGTCCCTGCCCCTGAGGCACAACCTCAGATCCAGCGCGTTCCTTTCCCCTCCCCGCTCCCCGTCCTCGTCCTCCCGCAC